GGACTAACTTCAAACTTGCAATCTTTCTGTCTTGTCCTCCTGACCCACTGGGATTATAGGTGTGTGCCACCATGTTTGGCAGATTTGTGATTTAAATAATAACTCTGAATGATACAAGGGGAATGGACTTTAGTTAATGGATGTAAGTTGACCAATTAGAAGGTTTTGCAGCATTATGAACAGGAGATGATGGGGACTAAAACCAAGGGTTAGTAAAGATGAGGAAAAAATGGTCAAATTTATGTTGTGAATTGTAGATTATTGGGATGTGAGGTAAACAAATGGAGAGTGAATTCTAGAATTTTAGCCAACAATTGTTGCATGATAGCAACATTCACCAAGATGAAAGAGATTGAAAGAGCATTGTAAAAGTTCTATGCTTGTATCAGTGAATGAGAAAATAATTACATACATCTACTGTAAAACAGTTTGACTTATAAAGAATATGGAAGTATGGGAATGTGGGTAATGACTTAGTTGTTCACAGAAAGGTTAGTTCTTACATGATAAATAATTAGGGCTTCCACCAAAATAAAATCATACCCCAAATGTTTTTATGGCAAACAACATACTATTATTCAAAAATGCACCTAGAATGAATTTGGTAGTGTCCCCTTTTCTATTTCATGCAATAATTTGAGGGGCATTGGCATTAGTTCTTCTTTAAAGATCTGGTAGAATTCATTGGGGAATCATTGCAGTCCCAGAATTTTCACTGTTATAAGGCTTTTTATTATTGCTTCTATCTCATTGCTTATTATTGATCTGTTTAGTTTTTCTATATCCTCCTGATTCAATTTTGTAGGCCATATGTGTTCAGAAATGTATCCATTTTTTCTATGTCTTTCATTTTATTAGTATAGAAGTTATCAAAGTAGTCCCTAATGATCTGTGGTGATCTCTCCTTTTTCATCTCTTTTCTAGATTTGGGTTTTCTCTTTCTAATGGTTATTTTGGCTAAGAGTTTATCAATCTTATTATCTTTTCAAAGAATTAAAATTTTGCTTCATTGATTCTTTGTATTATTTTTTAAAATTTTCTATTTCATTAATTTAGCATTTATCTTAACTATTTTCTTCCTTCTACTGATTTTAGAAATAATTTTTCCTTGTTTTTCTATAACTTTGAGATGTATTGTTGGGTTGTTTATTTGTTGATTTTTTTAACACAGGTACTAATAGCTATGACCTTTCCTCTTAGAATTACATTAATTGTTTCCCACAGATTCTGGCATATCTCCACTCTCATTTGATTCTAAGAATTTTTATATTTCTCCCTTAATTACTTTCATTGTCCCTTCTTTGTTCAAATTTGCTTTATTCAATCTCTATGTATGTATGTAATTTTTATGTTTTTTTATTTGCTGTTAATTTCTAATTTCATTCCATTATGTTTTGATAAGATTTAAGGAATTATATTGATTTTTTTACATTTATTGAGAGTTGATTTGTGTCCTAAAATATGGTATGTTTTGGAGAAGGTTCCATAGGCAGCAGAGAAGAAGGAAAATTCAGCTGTCTTTGGGTGAAATATTCTATAGATATCTGTTAGGATCATGTGATTTATATTTATTTAGTTCTGAAGAGTCTTCAATGATTTTGTATTTGGGTGATGTAACTAATGGTGAGAGAAATATGTTGAAATGACTCAATATTATTATACTGGAGTTCCTGAGTCTTTATATTGAGTAGTATTTGTTTTATGTAATTACATGCACCAACATTTAGAGCATAAATATTTATTATCATTATATCATCTTGTTAGATTGTTCCCTTTACCACCACAAAATGACCCTCTTTGTTTCAAGAGACCTTCAAAGTTTGCTTTGTTAGATATGAAAGCAGCTATACCTGCTTACTGTTGGTCTTCATTTATATGGAATATTCTTTCCATCCTTTCACTCTTGGCTAGTGGATTTCTTTGCTTGTAATATGAGTCCTTTGCAAACAACWTATGGTTGGACGTTGTTTTTTAATCCACAATGCCAGCCTGACTTCTAATTAAAGAGTTGAGACCATTTACATGCAGTGTTATTACAGAGAGATATGTATTATTACCAACCGTTTTAGAATGCAGTGAAAAATCAGGAATGGAGAGGAACATGAATAATTAGTAGCAGCAAAAAAAAAATACTAGAAGAGATATAGTAGCAAAAGGTATGTTTAATGTGTCAGACTCACTCACAAGAAATAACTGCCCTTTTCCCTCTGGGAGCGCAGAATCCTAACCACTAGACAACCAGCCTTTTCCCTTTGAACAGCCCCTTCTTTCCCTTCCCAGGCTGGTTCCATTGGCCACTTTCATTACAAAATTCCCATCCTGTTTACAATTGGTTGGATGAGGGAAGGATGCTTGGATAGAGTTGAGTTATTCCAAATGTAGCTTTTGCCTTGAAATCTGGAGTTAGGATCAAATAATATTTACATCCATTTTGAGTTTTATTGTAATATGCTAACACAGGAATGTTAAGTTGACCAAATGTCACTTTGTGAGTCTGAGAAGAGAAAGTTGGTTAGAAGAGAGAAGAGGAAAGCAGATAATGAGAAAAACAAACAAACAAACAAACAGCAATGGGAGAAGAGAGTCCTGACTACCGTCCACRCTGCCTGGCCAGGATTCTTCACATAACTCTGTGTCTTTGCAATAACCCCCACCTGATTGTCTGCATGCTGTTGTTAAGTACACTGACAGGCACACTAGAAGCTCTCAGAACAATTATTCTGAAGATTACCCCATCCTGAAATATCTTGTCAGTAGAATGTCATATGGGGAGGAGGGTGGCAGCCTGAGGGGCAACTGTCCCTCTCCTATCACATTCCTTGATCACTGTCTCATGTAGTATCAGAGCATAACACACTTTTGTCCCAGGAAGAAAAATAATCTGTCTGAAAAATAGTATGTGATAAAATTTAAAACATATTCAAGCACATGACTCGTCAGGTAAATTGCAAATACACATACATGGCATGTTGACTCGAGCATTGATGACCTGTTATAACTTTATATTCATACAAAGTTTTCAGCACACTTTTTTAAAAAAAGCTTTGTATTGGTATAATATATAGAGAGGTCAGTAAACAAAGCCTACTGACTTTCCACAACTGCACTTATCTGTGCAATCAGCACCCAGATCATGGAACACACTATCACACAATTGTTTTTATTTATTTTAGTACTTAGGAAATAGGAATATTTGAATAGATTTACAATATCAGTTAAATCTTTAAATAAAGATTCTGAATCTGAAAATTCTTCACCTATTTTGCTCTCTTTATTGAAACATTTCTGTGACTTCCTTACATTGTCTCAATTAATCTTTTCCACAACACTGTTAGGTTGAATGTTTGTGCTTATTTTATAAGAGGAATTTGAGGCTCAAGGGTATTTAGTGATGTGTCCGTGCACATATGTCTATAAATTGAACTCAGTTCTGTCTGACTCTCAAAGTACCCTTAACGGCTGCCTGCCAGATTTGGACAAAGTGATGTGGGTCATAGCCATTTGTTTATTTGARTAGATAAGCTATGGTGAATAATAGTAGGGAAAAGTATAGTTTTAAAATAGGTATTTAAGAGGTACATGAACTACCACTATTGAAATAAGAAGTGACAAAATAAAAATAGGGATTGCAAGAGATGATTCTAGACTTACATATTTAAGAATAGAAATTGGAAGCAAATAGAAGTGTTTTTTTTTTTTTAAATTCTATGCCAGAAACATTCATAGCATGATGAGGAGTAGGATTAGGTTTATGGATGTTTGAAGGAAGATTCAAATGAAGTTGGAAAGGTAAATGGGAAAAGAGAAGGGAATGGAAGAGTTGAAATTATTCACAAGTTTGCAAGTCTAGGAAACCAGGGTGATAAAAAAAAAAAAAAACCTGGAATGAAGTGGCATAGTGAGAATATGAACTTGATATTAGATACTCATATAATTAGGAGCTGTGTTGTTCCTTCAAATGTAAAAAWTTGTGGCATCCTTTCCCGTGTTGTTTACTCTTATTTCAAACTTTTTTATTCCTCACTATTGCAAAAAGACCTAATACTTTTACAGGAAGGTGTTATTTGGAAAGACTGAGCTATAAAGTAAGTTAAACCTGGTGTTGATAGTTCAATAATGGATTTGGTTAGAACATATACACTGGTAATTTCTATGGCTCTATGCAAATATTGTGAAACTTGATTCTTCTTTTCATGATTGGTGTGTAAGCTAGTTAGATATCAGGGTCCCTCCGTGGTCCCCTCCTCCCTCCTACTCTCTGTTTCTCTTTGCCTTACTTCCTTTCTCCTTTCTTTGCTCCCTTGGTTTTTGCTGTGGGTATAATAGGACATGTGCTTGTATCACTGGCTGATTTGAATTTTATTTAGATAACTAACTCTGAATAATATCCTATATTTTGATTCTGGCCATATTTTATATATTTGGCTTTTTAAATGACTATGATATCCATCCTCCCTTGGRCTCTGTTYTCTTTGTTCAGRAAAAAAAAAAGTTGTTTTGGGTTCATACTCAGTAAATGAATCACCAAGGTGTCCTAGCATGTGTTAGACACCATTAAACATATGGGAAGGTTTTAACCAGCGTAGTCTGTTTTATCTAGGCAAATATTTCCCAATATCCAAACAAGCTTCTCAAAATTACATATATGTAAATGTGTATTTATTTGTTTCTATCATAACTTTGTAAAAWTCATATCCAGTGTAAATTTTTAATTTGTATGTCTTCCTTGGAAAAAAATAAAATTGCCACAATTTTTTTCTTCCCAATTCAGTCATTTCTCATCTTGATGAAAAATCAATCATCTCTATGCTCCAGGGTCTATATTTATCTCATCCAACCTTTCTCCACTTCCACACCAAATTAAAAAATGATGAAACAAGAAGGAAACAAACTCAAGAAATGGGGAAGCTTATTACAGTCTGTGCTTCTTAACTGACGATTCTGTAAAACAAAGAGGTGATGAAGAGCCAAGCACGGGGTTGCTGTTATTTTTTACTTACAGCGACTGCCTCCAGGATCTGTTTGACGGCATTTGCAGCGTCTCGCTCACTATAATATCCCTTTTCCACAATCCTAAAAAAAACATGAAATGCTTCTCAGACACATACATTTAGTTGAATAGATGTTAAGAGAAGTTAATTAAATCAGTGTCAAAGAAGATACATCTAAACAATTGCTACAAGCTACAGTAACACCAGGGAGAGAGAGAGACCCATAAACTGGCACTCTAAACATTTTACTTTGCTTAGGAAAATGAAAAACATTTATTTTGCCTCAGCTTAAACTGTTCATCCTATTTGAGGAGGAAAAAAAAAAGTCCATCTTGTTTAAACATTATATGGTGAATTTTAAACATTCCAAGTTGATACTATAAGATGAAACATTCCAAGGTAATTGTCACACAGCTTTAACAATGATTAATTCAAGGCAGTCTTGTTTTATCTGTTGGCTTAAATAAATATYTATTTTATTTTGCATCCTCCTTTATTATTTCAAAGAAAAGGTCAGACTCATCATATAACTTTATTCCTAAATATTTGAGGTATCTTTAAAAGATGAGATATTTTAAAGTCATGATCATAATGAAAATATCATACCCATAAGTTATAATTCCTTAATATTATCAAATATGCAGTATTTTAAGTTTCAAATGAAGCTTTAGTGAGTAGACTAACTAGTCTAATCATGAATTGGAAAATTTGTAGTCTTGTAACGAAAATATCATATAGACAGGATTTTCAAGAACCACTTAATAATCATTAAGTGGACAGGATTTTCAAGAACCACTTAATAATCATCTCCTGAATATTATTATTATAATCTAGTTTCTAACTTTATTTAACCTAATGTATCAACATCATCCAAAAAAGTACAAAGATGGGAAGGGATATGCCCTCTCACTCTCATTCTTTGAAAAGATGATGCAAAAAATTCAATTATTTAATTTTCCAATCCAGTTATTTAGAACATTGGCAAGAAACACTGACATCATCTTTTTTAAAGGTTGAGAGACAAAATATCCCTCCTCATCTTTTTATTTATTTATTTTTGGACACTGTTATGCATAAGGTCAAATAAAGTGAGAATGTGGACTATAATATCCAGGGGATGGTTATTAAGTGGTTGCCTGAAAATCCTGTCTGCATGATACTTTTCTTACAAATCTGCAAATTTTCTAATTCATGATTAGGTTAGTCTATTCACTAAAACTTTAATTGAAATAACATCTTGAACTATACTTTCTGCACATTTAAAAATTAAGTATGAAAGAAAAGAAAAAGAAAGACTATTGTGACAGAGTAAGTGGAGTACTCTGCCRTKAYATCATGTTCTGCATTTTGCTCTAAATGTAGACTTTGTGATACATCCATCAACTAGCACAAGTGCAATTAGCATCTCCTCTGTGCACTAGACCTGCAGCCTTGGGAGCTTGGCTTTCTGTAGTCTTGTTAAAGGAGAGGAATTTTTATAAAAATGATGGAAAAGGCTGACTGATGGTTAACTTCCTTTTCAAACATTCCTTCTCGCCAGAAGATAAAATTGTTTATTTCCAAGCCTGCAGAAGAAGAGTGTGGATTTTTCCCATAGTCACTTATCCAGGCTAGAGCTTTACAACAACTGCTACATCCTGGGGTAATGCTCATGTCTTACTCTATGCAAATGGCACATCTTGGAGTTAACAGAGCCAATTTGCAGAACCGTGAGTCATTTCCCCACATTGTCTATTAAATGAACAGTTCTTTGTGGGCATAAATGTCATTTGTAGAGGCGATGCTTCATTCAGTAGAAATTTCTCTCTATATTTTGGTTTATTATAAAGTCTTAAGCTTTGGCTTAGATGTGGTATTTGTGTCTGTTTATTTGGCTATAATTTAGGGCTAAATATCTATTATAGACTAAATGTTTCTGTGGCCCCGAACATCATATATTGAAACCTGATCACGAATGCACTAAGCACTAGTAACAGGTGAGTAGGTCATGAAGGTGGGGCCCTCACGAGTGGAAATAGTGCACTTCTAAAAGAGGCCTCAGAGTGCTTGCTGCCTTCCTCTATACATCCTGTGGGAACACACGAGGAAAGCATMATTTATTAAATAGAAAGCATCCTTTCACCAGATATTGAATTTGATGGCACCTTGATCTTAGACTTCCTGGCCTCAGAATTGTGAGAAATAAACTTCTGTTGTTTATAAGTCACCCAGTCTGAGGAATTGTGTTACAACAACATTAACGAATGAAGACCTTTATTCTAGAACATGCTATTGAGTGAATGCCTAGGGATGGGCTGGATGTAGGAATGAATTTTCTTGGGAGTTGTTTTCAGGTAGAATGGAGGGAAGAATAAGTATCTAAAAATAGTTACTGGAAATTTCACTGATTTCCCTCAAAATGTGCTAAATTCATAAAATAATTTGTCTAATTATAAAGAAGATGCACTCCAACAGTCATGTCCATTCATTATTTTATTCAATAAATATTATGGAGTGACTATTATGCACTGGGTACTCAGTGGTGAATAAGATATGGTCTCTTCACTCCTGGGGTTTCTCCTGGTATAAGTGGGTAGACAACAATCAACACGGTGTGTGTGCTAAATGCTGTGACAGAAGCATTAGGGAAAAGCTTAAGAGCTGAGAAGAGGCAGTAATCTTCTGGAGGCCTCCTAGGGTGGATGAAGAATTCTAGAGATTGCTCAGTTCTGGCCTGAAGTGTATAGAAGTTTCCCAGATATGGGAAGAGTGGAAAGTGAGGCTGGGAACAGGTGAGGAAGAGAAGCATGAGATCAGGCAGGAGGAAAATTGTTTTGAAAAACAAAATAAAAGAGAAGAAAATTACAGTGAGAGTTCAAGCATGAAGGTAGGGTGTCAACATTCATCAATATTTTGGACTGTCTAATGTGAGCCAGGTACTTGCTGGATATAAAGAGATTTGGCTCTTCACCCAGGTGAGACCACAAAATGTAAAGAAAGTAAAGTTATAAACAACAACAACAAAACATTATCACTGATATGATACAGGTTATAATTGTGTTTGTGCAGTGGGTTTGGAGCAGGCATTGGTTGATTCTGTAGTGAGAAACAACATCCCTAAMGCAGGTATGTGGAGCAAGGACACCAAATTGAACACCTTCCTGACTTTATCTCAGTGCACACTCCATACACATAGGTCATTGGAGGGTGACTAGAAAGATCAACAGAAGTGAACTTCTCAATTCACCAACATAAGTTTATTACTTAGAACTATGACTATAAGTGAAGATACTAGTGACCGAGCAAAGGAAAATAAATTCTTACAATCCTTTTCTGTCCATTTAGGTCACATGATACATAGCAGGTATGTTTGTTCAATACCTTCGGCAGGATGCTAAGTAACATTCTAGGTCTTTGCAAAAGACCATTGCTTGGGGGCTGGGGTTGTGGCTCAGTGGTAGGGTGCTCACCTAGCATGTGCAAGGCCCTTGATTTGATCCTCAGCACCACATAAAAATAAATAAATAAAAATAAAAAGGTATTGTGTCCAACTACAACCAAAAAATATAATAATAATAAAAGAAAGACCTTTGCTTGGATCACTCAGCAGATCCTCGCTGTAAGCCTTGTTCATGGTAGACAGTCAATAAATACTTGTGCATCAATACTAACCACCAAACGAATGGATGTCAGAAACATTTCAGACCATAAACATCTGGACAATTCTTTTTTTTTTTTTAAGAGAGAGAGAGAGAGAGAGAGAGAGAGAGAGAGAATTTTTAATATTTATTTATTCTTTTAATTTTTGGCGGACACAACATCTTTGTTTGTATGTGGTGCTGAGGATTGAACCCGGGCCGCCAGCACGCCAGGCGAGCACACTACCGCTTGAGCCACATCCCCAGCCCCTCTGGACAATTCTTTACCTAATTCCTTATCATGGCACAACAAAAGCACTAGACTTGGAAGTAATCACCATCACAAGTGCCTTGGCTGTGGCTCCCAAGGGAGAACAGCCACATCCATGCTTTCAGAAGTTTAGTGCAGAAAGCAGAAGGGTTATTTCAGGACTTCAATATAAACTCAGCTCTAGAGTTTTAGATATTACTATAATAACATGCATCTTTTTCAAAACTCAAAGTAAATTAGATCAAAGGGATTAAATTCAGCAAAATAGAGTATTTATGTTGTAAAAGTAACACAATAATTCCTTCACACAATTTGGCTGGCATTTTAAAAAATTGTCAATTAAATTGAACCACGGATAGATGGTCAAGGATTTATAACCTTATATGAAAGATACTARTAACTGATTTTTAGAAACAATGAAGGTATGCAATCATTGTAGGGATTTTTAAAGCTATAAAAATAGGGACATAATTTTGGTTGGTATTTTTATTTTTTTCTATTTAAACATAGTAATTGCTATATTTACCTTCATTTCCTCTTCATAATTTGTAAAATAGTACAAAAGCAGTTAAGATGATACCAGCATCTTAAGATCAATTTCAAATGCCCAGGGTCATGTAATTTACCTCTATGCCACAGAGTTCCACAGCTTTCCACTGTGGGCTGATCTAGAAGGCTCAGTGTTAAAGCAAATGTCTCCCAGGATTTTAATAAAGACACTGACCCATACCCAAATGTCTTAAAGTCAGCATACTATGGTGATACAGCCACATCAATGTTTATAGCAGCTCAGTTCACAATTGCTAAGTTATGGAACCTGCCTAGTTGCCCTTCAAGAGATGAATGCATTTAAAAAATGTGATTATATATATATATATATACACACACACACACACACACACACACACACACATATATACATACATACATACACAAACACATAATTAAATATTACTAAGCCATAAAGAAAAATGAAATTATGGCATTTGCAGCTGAAACTGGAGACTATCTGCTAAGTGAAATAAGCCAATCCCCCAAACCCAAAGGCCTAATGTTCTCTCTGATATGTGAACACACAATAAGGGGGAGGGAGGGAAGAATAAAAGTTCACTGGATTAGACAAAGGGGAGTGAAGAGAAGGGATGGGATGGGAATAGGAAAGACAGTGGGATGAATCAGACTTAACTTTCCTAT